ATTTTTGATTTTATACCTACAACATACAAAATTTTTACATTATAAAAAAGACTGTAAAATCCTAGGAAAAAAAAATTGCAAAAAGTGAAAAGGCTTGCTTTAAGGCACATTGGAAGGAATTTTCTAAAACTGGGGCAGCTGTGCATGGCAACCAATCAGATTCTATCTTTCAATTTCAAAGCCTGAACAAGCTGAAGATAGAAGCTGATTGGTTTGCTTGCAGAGTTACTCCAGATTCTGTCTTCTTCAGTTTTGATAAATGTCACCTGTTGCATGCTGAAACACGTAAAGTTAGCATTTAGAAATCTTTTGAACCATTGTTGGTTCCAGTCATAAAACAGCTGGCTTTTTTCTACAATTCCTGTCTAGTGCCTGACCAACATTAAAACCTGGTACATGTCTGTATTCAGATCTCTAAATAATTCTTACTGAAGTGCAGCTTTTTGCTTTTCTGTAGAATCTACTGTATATTTTGTTACATCCAAACAATGTATAATAGAATGACTTCCAATGCTTAGCACATTATACTGCCATTGAACTAAGAATATAGTATAGCTCTATGTGCAGAATATCTTAAAGTGTATGTAAACTCTGACAATCAACTCCTCATATGTGTGTGTATGTTCAATATGCAGTTGGAAGCATTTTGTTATATCTGTTCAATAAGAGAAAAAAATTATGATGATAGTGTCAGAAGAAATGTTGAGCTGTCCTGTGCATATGTCCTGTGTCAAGGAAGTCCTCCAAATTCATTTCTTGGACTACCAAATAATTACTTTGTATGTTAAAATGTAACTTTCATTTAATGCAAGTAATTTATAAACACGATCATGTCTGTAACAACCAGAGAGCCGAGAGAGAGAACTACCGCAGTTGATGAGATCTCCCAGCAGTTATATCAAGGGGACAAGCTTCAAGGCAAGAACTGATACCTAACACAAGCACCTAATGGGAAAATGTCAATGCAAAGGCAGATCACCTGGTTATATTTCTACCCAACCAGTAACCACTTGCAGCGGACACCAAATCAAGCCTGTCCGTAAGTACGAGTATGGGGAGAGAATGTCAGTAATTTTAAAGATGGCACAGGATGAAGATTAATGTGAGAATTGATACCGAACACGGAGGATCTTGAACACGTAATGGGAAAATGTCAATGCAAAGACAGATCACCTGGTGATTATTTCTACCCAATCTGAGACTACTCACAGTGGGTGCCAGATCAAGCCTGTCCGTATGGGCATGGGGAATGAACATAGTTCAATTTAAACATGACATGGGTCAAAGATTTCAAGCTGAGAATTGACACCTAACACGAAGGATCCTGAACATGTAAAGGAAAACCTCAATGCAAAGACATCATCTGGTTATATTTCCACCCAACCTTTCACTACTTGCAGCGAGCACAAGATCAAGCCTGTCCGTAAGTACAGGCATGGGGACAGAACATCAGTCAATAAAATAAACACAATTGTTAGAGCAGACAGCGATGATCTAACAGATTCTATTGTCCCTGTGAAGGAATATCTCAGTTTATAGAAATCTTGATCTGAGTAGGTGTTGGACCTTATGTTAAGAAGAGGAGAGGAGGTGTACCTCTGCATATCTTGACAGTGTGGGTGTGAGTGTGCAGATTGGATTGAACTGTGAGACACTTTGGCACTTACACTATATTGCCAAAAGTATTGGGACACCCCTTCAAATCATTAGATTCAGGTGTTCCAATCATGCCCATGGCCACAGGTGTATAAAATCAAGCACCTAGGTATGAGGACTGCTTATACAAACATTTGTGAAAGAATGGGTCGCTGTCAGGAGCTCAGTGAATTCAAGTGTGGTACCGTGATAGGTTGCCACTTGTGCAATAAGTCCATCTGTGAAATTTCCTTGCTACTAAATATTCCATTCTGTTAGTGGTATTATAACAAAGTGGAAGCAACTGAGGACAACAGCAAATCAGCCACAAAGTTGTAGGCCATGTAAATTAACAGAGTAGGGTCAGTGCCAACTGTCTGTAGAGTCAATAGCTAAAGACCTCCAAACTTTGTGTCGCCTTCAAATTAGCACAACAACAGTGCGTAGAGCTCTTCATGGAATGTGTTTCTATGGCTGAGCAGCTGCATCCAAATCTTACATCACCAAGTGCAATGCAAAGAGTCGAATGCAGTGGTGGAGATGTGTTCTCTGGAGTGACAAATCAAGATTCTTTGTCTGACAATACAATGGACGTGTCTGGGTTTGGCAGTTGCCATGAGAATGGTACTTGCCTGACTGCATTGTGTCAAGTGTAAAGTTCAGTGGAGGGGGGATTATGGTGTGGGGTTGTTTTTCAGGGGTTGGGCTTGGTCCCTTAGTTCCAATAAAGGGAACACACTTAAGGTGTCAGCATACCAAGATATTTTGGACAATTTTAAGCTCCCAACTTTGTGGGAACAGTTTGTGGATGGCCCCTTCCTGTTCCAACATGACTGTGCACCAGTGTGCAAAGCAAGGTACATAAAGACATGGATGAGCGAGTTTGGGGTGGAGGAGCTTGACTGGCCTGCAACCTGACCTCAACCCAATAGAATCCCTTTGAGATGAATTAGAGTGGAGACTGTGAGCCAGGCCTTCTTGCCCGACATCAGTGCCTGACCTCACAAATGCGCTTCTGGAAGAATGGTCAAACATTCCCATAGACACACTCCTAAACTTTGTGGACAGCCTTCCCAGAAGAGTTGAAGCTATTATAGCTGCAAAGGGTGGGCCAACTCAATATTGAACCCTATGGACTAAGACTGGGATTCCTTCAACCGCCTCCCGCCTGCCATATAAGGAAATGACGGACGTGAGGTGGTTCTCTCGCTCTGGGAGAACATCATATGATGTTCACACTCACTCTAACCGTGCGTGCATGTCCCCGGGGGCATGCAGCGCAGTGATCGGTGGTGCACTGTGTCCCTGGAACACAGTGGATCACCGATCAGCGGAAAGAGCTGATGACATTGGTTCTGTCATGTGATCAGCTGTGTCCAATCACAGCTGATCGCATGTAAATAAGGAGATTCCAGTTATCGGCATTCCTCTCCTCACCAGCTCTCACGCTGACAGCTTGTGAGGAGAGGAGAGCCGGTAATCGCCATTATTCAGAGGGGACATGTACACTGATCATCAGTGCCCTGAGGATCAGTGTAGCCCCATCAGTGCCACCTGTCAGTGTCCATCAATGCCACCTGTCAGTGCCCATCAATGCCCCCTGCTAGGGCCCATCAGTGCCACATCAATGCCACATATCAGTGCCTACCAGTGCACATCAATGCCATATATCAGTGCCCATCTGAGCTGCCTTTTAGTGCCACCTACCAGTGCCAGTCAGTGCCACCTATCAGTGCCAGTCAGTGCCACCTATCAGTGCTGCCAATCAGTGCCACCTATCAGTGCCAGTCAGTGCTGCCTATCAGTGCGCATCAGTGCTGCCTATCAGTGCCGCCTAACAGTGCTAGTCAGTGCTGCCTATCAGTGCCATATATGAGTGCTGCCTTTCAGTGCCCATCAGTGATGCCTGTCAATGCCCATCAGTGCCACCTACTTGTGCCTCCTCATTAGTGCCCATCAGTGCCACCTATCAGTGCCCATCAGTGCAGCCTATCAGTGCCCATCACTGCAGCCTATCAGTGCCCATCACTGCAGCCTCATTAGCGCACATCAGTGAAGGAGAAAAATCACTTATTTACAAAATTTTATAACAGAAACTAAGAAAAGGGTTTTTTTTTTCAAAATTTTCAGTTGTTTTTGGTTTGTTTAGCAAAAAAATAAAAAACCCAGAGGTGATTAAATACTACCAAAAGAAAGCTCTATCTGTCTAAAAAAAATGATAAAAATTTCATATGAGTACAATGTTGCATGACCGTGCAATTGTCATTCAAAGTGTGAGAGTGCTGAAAGCTGAAAATTGGCCTGGACAGGAAGGGGGTGAAAGTGCCCTGTAGGCAAGTGGTTAAAGTTCATGTGCGTGTAAAGGCATGCGTCCCAATACTTTTGGCAATATAGTGTATGTGATGTGTATATATGGACTGATTGTTTATGTATAGCACCATAGTACTTGCGGTTGTGAGCAACACTAACAAAGTTTTTTTTTTTTGCACGTTTTTATGAAAGTATATATGATTGTTTATTCACTTATACGTACATTAATTAGCACCGTCCTTATTTCCATACCAATCAAGTGCATTATAAGTAGGCACTTTTTTGGAGTGGCTGTTGGGTAATAATATTTTTTTTGTTTTTTTTAATTATTTTTAGTCTCAAGTTTTCAGTATTCCATTAAGCACAGATATTCACCTATATTTGGCCAGACACTTTTGTTGACAGGTTGTCTATAGAGTTGTTAGGCTGTTATCCTTGATATGCTGGAATTTACACTGTAATGTTCTGCAGGATCTAAACAAAAAATATACATTTTACCAATACATTTTGTTTCTTAATTGTGAATTATTGTTAATGCTTCAAATAAGTTAGTACATGTTGTAAACAGCCTGTGGATGGAAGGGCTGAACAGTAGCAACATGTATAAGCACCATGAGACATTGGTTTTTTTTTCATTGTTCTATACTTCAGAGTTGTCACTGCTACTATGTTGAGTGGTAACAGTTTCATGGCTATTGCAGTGACTATTAGAGGCAGACTTTTTTATCTGTATGTGACAGTCCTCTGTGTTTCATAAACACAACAATAATTACGGTAGTGCAAATCAGGAGCAGCAAGGCAACTACCCCTCCGATGATTGGTAACAAAGAACCCTGAGGATCCTGGCCAGTGATTTCCAGGAGTGGCTTGTCATACTGTCCATTTCCAGATAAAGAATCCTTGCCAGAAGCCCTGTGGGAATGTCTAAGAGCAATGTGCTGAATATTTGTCCCTCTGTTCTTATCAGCTCCGATGTCTTGCAAGGCAGCTTTGTCTTGATTAGCTCTCCGGCTTCTCTTCAAAAGCAGTTGCTCCTGTTGAGCAACACTGTTACTTATGGAGTGGTGGTATTCCACACTACGTTTTCCGATACCTCTGTTAGCATTTTCTCTAGAGCGGACTGTATAGATGGTATGAATGAACCATTCACGTCCAGCAGCCACCTAGAAGTGGGAAGAATATTTTGTTATAAATGGCACTAATGATGTTCTTGGTTACCTACCTGCTGCCAAAATGATAGGCCTTTCAGTTATACAGGTCTCTGTAGAAAAAGTACCTTCATTTGTGTCAACATCCAATAACCAGTTTAGCTCCCATACCCATATACTGCTTATGGATCAGAGCAATTTTTACATTTCAGCTATGGGCCTTTTGATTATTGAAGCTGAACTTTGAGTAAGATTATGATTGCAGTTAGATTGGTCCAGCTTGGCCTGCACTGAAGAGCTGAATCACAAGACATGCAGGCAAGAAGCCACTTACTGTATATGTTATAAACTGGGGACAGCCAGGATCACATAATACATTCTCTTGGTTCTTTTACATTTATTTTAGTTTTGGATGGACATATAAATTAGGAATACTGTTGCATCTGTCATAACCAATAATATCAATGTAATAAAATCTTAAAGAGCTTCACCCTTTAAAGTCAGAAACTTCAAATACTGTAGCTGTTGACTTTTAGAAATCAGGTACTTGCCAGTTTCTCACATCTATTGCTATCTTCCCACTGCTGTGGGTCCCCGATACTGCTATCATGGATTTGAGAGCCAATTGTGACTTCCTGAGGAATCACAGCCAGCTCCCCATTGCCCATGTGTGAGATCGGGTGGCACAGTGGGACTGGTCCTGCAGCCTTCAGAAAAACACTCTAAAGTGTTAGAGGCAGGGGCAAAGAGGATGATGAACAGCACTTTTGATTTTGAGTGAAGGACTGCTTTATTGTAAAAATAATTTATTATAAGCTGATATGTTTGTTATTATGCACCAACCCAGTTTGAAGGATAGCTTTGTATTAGCATAGCGGAAGCAAGCTGGCCTTTTTATCCACTGTATTTCATGTGTACAATCCAGCATTTCAAAATCTGTAATCAATGCATTTTTAAGTCAAAACCTGACTTAAATAGATTGTGCCCCAGACTGTCATTTCTTTGACTTTTAGTTGACCACTACATCTTTAAGGGCTTAATAAGACCCCTTTCACAAGGGGTGGACTCCACCAATCCCTCGCTGAGCAGGGCAGAGCGGGAAGATCACAGGTCTGTGTCAGCTCTTCTTATGCAGAGTGGACATGGACACAGTCTGCTCTGCCCTATGGGCAGTCGGATGTAAATGGAACTGATCCCCTTCCATTTGTTTCTAGCGAATTGGATTGGGAGGTTGGTGGGTGTAAACGGACACTGTTTTCATCCACCGCTCCACAGAAGAGAATGGAGGGTCCGCTCGTGTGAAAAGGGCCTAACGCCTAATTGAACTGAAGAGTGTTAGTTTGCTTTTTATTTCCTTGAGAAGGGGGGGGGGGGGGTTGCAAAAATATACTTCTAATGCAGTTATCAAACCAAATCGTTTATTGCAACTTTTCCTGTTTTTCGGCGAGACGTACCTGGAATAGGGCATTTGATAAGAGACTGAAGCCATCAGATCCTGGCTGCTTTACTAATGGTAGAGCTTCTGGGCTGTCAGCTGCTAATTTAGCTTCAAATGGAACACTCCCAAATATCCTAGCTTGGGTTTCTGGCTGAGCTTTGTCCTATTGAATGGAAAGAAAATTATAAGGTTGTAGCTACAGTATATGATGCCAGTACAAGTACAAGATAATCTTCAAAAAAATATTTAGCTCTTAACATAGAGCAGAAAAAAAAAATATATCAATACAAATTCCTTCAACTAGTACAACAGAAAAATTTGACATGCTGCTCATAGCAACCAGTCCAAATGTCACTGTCTAAACCAATGTTGTAAATAAATATAAACATTCAAGTATTTTAGCTTTCTTAATAATGAATCAATATTTTTTTCCTCTAAATTTTCTCTATGTAATATGTTCACATTTTGTAAAATTATATTTTTTTTCCTGTGAGGTACTGTGCATATGAAATAGTAAATAACTCTTTATATGTATAACCTTTTTCAGCCACTAGATGGCACCCCTGTCTTGCCCAGACTCTTGTGCTTATCCTCCTCAATGTCTATTTGTCAATCTAATACCTTTAGAATTTATTCAGGACCTGTTCACACCAGCAGTACTGGGCAGTGTTGCCCAATAGAGTCCCAACTGAAGAACAAGGCAGTCTGCTTTATATCCTAGGTCTTTATTTCAGACCAACACACTGCATTGTTCTGCGCTAAACAAAGCAAGACATTTTATATTTTTGCATTGAGTAGCATAGTACATTTTAATGTGCTGTAACACATTGCAATGCGCTGCAGCACATAACAATTACATACAAGTTGAAAAAAAAAAGCAAGCAGTACAATGTATTTTAACAATGCTTTGCAGCACGTTCACAACACACACACCTTCCTGCACATTATGCACACTATAACAAGTACTGTGTGGTGTGAATGGGCCCTCGGAAAATCCCCTTTACAAAAATGGCCACTAGCAATCTATTTGCTGACTTGTGTGACATCTGTCACTAAACTGAACATATTCACCCAGAAAGTTGCCCTGCCCACAATTGCTGAGCTTTACATTTGGGAAATGTACATTTGTAGCACCTGTATGTTATGAGAACACTAGCTAGCATGGATATACACTAAAATACATCTTAAGTTACGTACCAATATTTTAAATCTATAGAGTAAAGAAGGTGAATCTGCGAGGCATCCATATTCTTTATTGTCTGGGTTGTATTTGGGTACATAACCATCCGCACCAGTACATAAAAACACTTTCTCAATATTACATATGAAAGAGTCCCCAAGGTTCTGAACAGGATCCACCATTACGCGTCCATAAATTGAAGACCTTTTAAACAAAATAAAAGTAAATTAAATCAGTTAAATTAAGTTTAATTAAGATACTATATACACTTCTGATTTATTAGACCCAGTGGGGTTGATTTGCTAAAACTGAAGAATGCACAATATGGTGCAGCTCTGCATAGAAATCAATCCGCTTCCAGCTTTTTTTGTCAAAACTTAATTGAACAAGATGAAGTTAGAAGCTGATTGGTTACCATGCACAGCTGCACCAAATTTTTCACTCTCCAGTTTTAGTAAATCAACCCCAGTGCATCTACAGAAGGCATGCTCAACCCATGACCAGCAGAGCCATCTGATGTGGCGCACGACCTCAAACCTATGACAACCCACAAACCTCCTTCGGGTGCACACCACTCTACTGAATGAGTGTCAGTCCTCTATAATACCAGTGACTGTCACCAGGGCCATTGTTAGAAATCATGGGGTCCCATACAGCCTACCTGATAGGGCCCCCTTCGACCCCCCTGACCTTAACCACATCCCTGGTCCCTCCTCTGTCTCAAAACAAAATGCAGCTTTGTTTTCAAGTGCATCCAGTAGAAGGGGAAGCAGTTACAAATACAGTTACAAATACAAGTGTAAATAAGGCTACAGGGCTTTTTTTCTCAGAAAATAGGTGCAGAAAGTATTACACCCCCATCGCACCACTCGCCATCAACATCATCATCAACACCCCCCAGAGTGCTACAAACAGAATGCAGAGTTCAGGAGTGCAGGGTTTGGGATTGTGCTATGTACAGAGTATGCAGTAAACTGGGGCCAAGGTCCAGGAGTGTGCTATGTACAGAGTGGGCAGTGCACAGAGTGCAGGGGTGCACTAGGTATTCAGAGTTCAGGGGTGCGCTACATATTCAGAGTTCAGGGGTGCGCTGCATATTCAGAGTGCAGGGGTGCACTGCATATTCAGAGTTCAGGGGTGCACTACGTAGTCAGAGTTCAGGGGTGTGCTACGTACTCAGAGTTCAGGGGTGCGCTATGTACTCAGAGTTTCAGGGGTGTGCTACGTATTCAGAGTTCAGGGGTAAGCGACGTACTCAGAGTTCAGGGGTGCGCTATGTATTCAGAGTTCAGGGGTGCTCAACGTACTCAGAGTTCAGGGGTGCGCTACGTATTCAGAGTGCAGGGGTGCGCTGCATATTCAGAGTGCAGGGGTGCCCGGCATATTCAGAGTGCAGGGGTGCGCTGCATATTCAGAGTGCAGGGGTGGCTGCATATTCAGAGTGCAGGGTGCACTGCATGTTGCATTCAGAGTGCAGGGGTAAGGTGCGCGTTGCATTCAGAGTGCAGGGGTAAGGTGCGCATTGCATTCAGAGTGCAGGGGTAAGGTGCGCATTGCATTCAGAGTGCAGGGGTAAGGTGCGCAATGTATTCAGAGTGCAGGTGCGGGGTAAGGTGCGCGTTGCATTCAGAGTGCATGGGTAAGGTGCGCGTTGCATTCAGAGTGCAGGGGTAAGGTGCGCAATGTATTCAGAGTGCAAGGGTAAGGTGTGCATTGCATTCAGAGTGCAGGGGTAAGGCGTGCATTGCATTCAGAGTGCAGGGGTAAGGCGTGCATTGCATTCAGAGTGCAGGGGTAAGGCGTGCATTGCATTCAGAGTGCAGGGGTAAGGCGTGCATTGCATTCAGAGTGCAGGTGTGCATATCTCACAATGCAGTGTACAATTACTGTTTAAAAATGATAGCTTTTTTAACTACATGTCCATATAAAGCTGTCCATACGTTTAAAGACTTCCATAGATTTTCATACTTACAAAGAAATCCATAAATTCCCTCATCCATGCTAAAGAGCATTAATGCATGAATCTTCCACTGCTGGCACCAGATGTATCAAAATACCTGAACAGCGGTGCTGCCGAGTGGCTGCAGTCAATGTTCAGCTAATTTTTTGCCCGACTTTCGATTTTGCACTCAAATTTTATCAAGCCTGTCAGGACCACCCATGGATTTGAATTCCAGCTGTATATGGCCAGCTTTTAACTATCCAGTCTACAGAGTGACAATGCCGCTGTGCAATTCCACTACAGAATGAGCATCATCATCACTTTGTTACAAAAAAAAATGGAACAACTACAGATCCACTGGCAGGATCAACAGCCAAAAAAACAATGTAACATGTGGACTCAGAAAACACAAAACATCAACTGTTGTGTCAGTGCTAGTGACACACTGCATCATATACATCATTTTTTTTTTTCGTGCCAGTTGTATATATCCCCTTTCCTTTCCCCATCTTGCCTATACATTACTCCAAGATGCCATGTTTTCTTACCTTCAGTAAATGCAACATCAGTTCCTTCACCAAATCCCATTGAGCCATCAGATAGCCACAGCTCCTTCTTGGATAGTAGGTACATTTGAGTGTTTAGACTGAATTCAGTTGAGACTGGATCACTGACCTACAATATAAGCATTATTTGTGTGTAAATATATAACTGTGTATAAAATCTTGCATAACAAAGCTTATAGTCAGTATTTCTTACCTGTTGAAACCTAATATCAATGTCAAATGTGATGGGCTCACGTGGGTTGCATTTAGGAGGAACTGTATATTCTTGGTTAGGTGATGCACTACATGGGATAAGTTTTACTGTGTAAGTGCCAGAGTAGTCACGTACCTATAAAAATTGTGGATATATTAGTAATACTGTACATACATTTAGTATTGCCAAGAGCTATAATAACAATCATGATTATTATAATTTATGCAACCAAAATAAAACCAATCAGGTGCAGAACAGTCAGGACAACTAATTAATTATACCCTACTGGTTGCTGAGTTCCTGCTCTGGGTATAATACTATTCAGACTATTTTAATAACATACTTTCTGTGAGTGAATTTCTTGTATAAGAAAATTGTTAATTTGTAGAAAACGATAGTCACAATGCAATAAACACCTACAGCAAAATCTGAGACAAAACTCCACTGCTGCACGGGTTGTCTGAAGCTGGGTTCACTGCGGATAAGACTTAGTGTGAAGGTGAGCTCTGGGTGGTCAGCCGACATGACCATGGAGGACAGAGAAGTACCTGAGACAGAACAAAAATTATCACTTAAATCAGCTCAAATCTGCAGATGGATCAAATCCTGAAAATTAGTCCTGCATATACTATTATTTCACAGTTTAATCTAATTCTGCCACCTGGGTATGTAATCCAAATTGGTGTAAATGAATCACAAGAATAACATATCATGTGACAAGTCTCAGATGGGGCCAGCTGCACACCTGTTCCAGGTAACTGACATAACTCCCAAAGGATCTAAACTGCTTCAGCTTTACAGACACAGAACTAATATATAGTCCGAGAATTTCCGAAGTGGTATATTTATAGAGTAGCAAATTCTCAGAAAATTGTATACTTACCTGCTGGTAATTTTCCTTTCCTGACACTAAAGCATGACTGAATGAATACATGAGTATAGGCTCCATCTCCCCACCCAATCAGTTATACTGTAAAATGAAACACCCACCACAAGGCAGCATTCGCATTACAAGACTCAATGAAAAGCCATGGGAGGGATTTGTATGCTGTTGTGCTTTTGCATCAAGAAAGGAAAATTACCAGCAGGTAAGTATACAATTTTCCATTAGCCTGATGCTAAAGCATGACAGCAGCAAACTTTTTCTGACACAAGCATGATAGTATATGTCAGGAATGGACTTGCCAATAATGGTGGGACTCACCTGCCTTGTGGGCTGCAGTACCAGGGCTGGCCAGCGGGTGCTCTCAGCAATCAGAGACTCAACCCTGCAGTCAGCCAAACACCTGAAGCTGATTACGGAGGTGTATTTAAGGGATGGCCAGACCTACAGTCTGGGCCTTGGTGTGTGTTTTTCCATGGGCCCCTGTGTCTTGTTACCTGCATTCCTGTTCCTGTTCCTGCCTGACTTACTCGTTGCCTACCCTGCCTGATCCTGACCTCTGCTGTCTTCTCCTGTTTGATCCCTGGCTTGTGACCCCGACCACTCTCTGCCTGACCCCCTGTACCTACCTGCCCGTTAGTTGCTGTACCCGGCTCGTGACCTGACTACTCTCTGCCTGCTCCTCCTGTTACTACCTGCCTGATTGTTATTGACCCGGCCTGCCTGACTACGCTTGCATTGTATGTATTGTTATCTGTGGGTGGCTTGGTTTGTTTGCACTGTGTTTATGTTTTAGTATTGCACTGCGTTTTGTATTGTTAGTATTAATAAATTATATTGTTTATAACATATCTGAAGCCTGCGTTTCCCTGCGTCAGTTCACATACCTCTGGTCATACCTGGAGCCCTGACAGTATAAATACATGGAAGCACGAAAAAGAAACAAGGAAGGGTAATCCTTAAGTATTTAAATCAATTGATCTTTAGATTCATTTAGAACTGAAGCAAAACTGTCCTGTTGTCAATGTTGCTTGACCAACTTTGCATAGGCTAGAATGGTTTGTAATAAGCTAGAAATGCACCACACATGGACCAGGTTGCTTCCTTGCAGAAAAATTCTGGGCCTCTGAATTCTGCCCACGAGGACGCAATTTGTCTGGTAAAGTGGGCTCTGAGATCAATGAATGGATTCATCTTCTTTACCATATAAGCCCTCCTTGACCTGTTCTAGTGGACGGTGCAAGTCCTCTTTTGACATTGCCATAAATGAAGAACCAATTTTGTGACCTTCTGAAAGAAGTCACCTCCATGTATTTCTTCAACACTACGCCCAATGTTTGTGGTGACTCGAACAAGCTGGAAGGACTAAATCCTGACTCAGATGGAAACATTCACAGATCTCTGCATGATGCTGACGGTGCTGCTGTTAGAAATCATGGGGCCCCATACAGCCAACCTGACAGGGCCCCCCTAAAAAAAAACCCAGTTTACTATGC